TGACAAATAATTCTTTTGTAACCATATAAAAGATGGCATGTATAAGAACTCTTGATAAACTGCATCTTTACCATTGCCTTTCACAGCACTTAAAATAAAGGTACTCTTCTGTATTGAGGGCCGTAAAAAAATTGCAGCGAAAATGTATGCGCAAAAGCGCCAAATCTAGCAAACGCACCCATTTAACAGCCCGCCAAATCTAGCGTACGCGCTGGTTTCAGATTGCATAAGTTTATATAGTTCTATATTTCTTAAGACGCCATTGAAATACTAGTTTAATTTTTAAATTCTTTTTTTCATTTTAAATTCTTTTTTTCATTTTAAATTCTTTTTTTGATATCCTGTGGATTTAACAATTTGGGAATTGCCCATGATGAAAGTCGGCAATAGAATTTTTGGGTAAAGTGCAGAATCACTCACTGCTTGAACGCATGTTTTTAAGAATTGCACATACTCAGTATCCATGTGCACATCGACCTATTTTCACTTAAAAAAAAATCCCAGAATTGCACAAAATTGGCACTGCTCCCAGAATTGCACAAAAATGGCATTTACTTAAACGCTACCCCCTTGACTTTTATCTATGTACACATCGATCTATTTTCATTAAAAAAGTAAAATAAAATTGACAAAAATTCAATTGTTTTTACCCTCGTAAAAAGCGGCAAACAAATAAGTGAGCGATTCTACACTTCTGAATTCCGATTCTGAATATTTTCAAAGAAAAGGCATCATTCATAATAGAAAATTACGTTTGAACAACCAACGAGATGAAATTATGCTTTAGCGATAAGTCAGTAGCGAAAAAGCGATGCAGGCATCCATTCAGTTATTTTAGCAAATTTTATATAAATTATAATAATGATTTGAAATAGTTATTTACTCTTTTGCTTCAATTCAGTCATGTTTAGCCTTTTTCATATAAATTATAATAATAAAAAAGTATTATATGAAATTAACCTTTCATCTAAATTAAAACATCAATTTTAGATAGTTATTTACTATTATACTTCCTTTCTTGCCTCAATTATTTTTGGCAGCATTGGCATCAGCAATAGTTTAGCGATTTTTTACGGCCCTCGAAACCGAATAGTTCCAAAATAAAAAAAAAAAAACACTCGCAATTACTATATGTGAATATAATTCATAATTAAATTTAAACAAATGACTATTAAATGTATGAAATTAAATACCAGAAGAATGCAAATTAAAGGCAGCCTTCAAAACATTTTAACATTTATTATCTATAAATAGAGTAGCAATTATTTGGTTATTCGTTTATAATAAAATAAACATGGGAGATGCCTTTTTAAATTTTTTGTTCATGTCAGGAGCTAAACTCAAATCACCAGCTGAGCATGTGAGCAGTTTCATCAATCAGCCATTGGGAGACAACCAACTTGGATAGCGAATCCACATATAAAGTTGCTAAGACAAAGAGAAGAACAAAATTATGATAATCATATCTTACCTAATCATAAAACTATTTTAATGTGTAGACAAGTCCAAAAAGAGTGAGAATGAATTTAGTTTTCAACACAAAGTTACCTTGAAGGAGTAAAAAAAAAAAAAAAAAAAAAAAAAAAAAAAAAAAAACTTGTGTCTCATGTAGTAAGTAAAAAATAATGTGGCTGCATCTGGTAACATTTTGCTCACAACTCATAAGTAATTGGTAGCCACGTGCAGAAAATAAAATCTGATAAGTATTATACAATTTTAAAATTTTGAATTTCTCTGCAGAAATCTACCAAAGAAGTATATTTTATGTTGTAATAGTATTAAATGAAGATGTTCTACCATAATCAACATTTCAATTGCTTAAACACTAATGGAGCAGTGTGCAAAGATGAAGATTTGAGTTTTGTTTACGAAGCATGATGGTTTTGGCACTCCAGGCATTACCGTGAACAGGATTGTAATAAACATAGCCGCAACAATTGTCTATGAATATTGAAGTATAACACTGCATGAACTAATAGCTATGCTAGTATATACACAATCCTTAATCGAAGTGAAAATGAGAAGACTGTGTATACATTTCCTTTAATTGAAACATGGATTTGACCATGCAAATCTCTGTCTTATGGGACTTTACACACTCAGCAGATAGAAAAGTAAATACTGCTTCTGTTGCTGTCCACTATTTCTTCTTTAGAGCTATGAAATAAATATATTTTTACATTATATATTTTTTTTCCCTTTCGTGTTTCATATTTGGATTACTTTCCAAAAAATAAGGAATTGTGATATTATTACAACATGTGAGTTAAAATAACATTTTGAATAACAATTATTAGACATGTTAAGGCAGTGAAAATTTTAAATTAGATTAAAAAGTAACCTTCATGTGGCATATTTAAGTCCTTCACATCCGCCATTCGCAGTGCTTTCAGGATCCCGGGTGCCGTCGACGAAATATTGCAGCGACAGGATTTCCCATTTTTGTTTCGGGCACTCCGAGAAAGCGAGGTGGGACAGCCTTTCAACATCCGTGGTGAGCTGGCTTCTGTTGATGGGATTTTAATTGAAGCCTGTAGTCTTTTAAACACTTCTCCCCAAAGCGCAGCTCTAACACGCCGGCTAGAGCTTCGAAGTGTAGCCTCTGGGGTTTTCGGGAAGAGTCTGAAGGATATCCCTTGTGTCTGCTCTCAGAGAAGCGGCAAGATGACAGGCCTTAGCTTGGTAATCCCATCCATTCGCTTCCGCCACTATAGAAAATTGTGTCTTATACACTTGCCAGGAGGTCTTCCCATCATATGTGGATAGCTACAGGGACTGACGAGCAGGCATGGATAAAATTTAAAACTTTCGGAATTGCTTCCTTCTGTCGCTATGCACTTCTTTAAAGTATCAACCTTTTTGGCAACAGCAACAGAAACCCTTTTATCTATTTGCTGTTGGACGGCATAAACTCTTTCTTGAATTTCTCCAACTTTGTCTTCAGTTGTATCTATTCTTCCTCCCATGGCCTCGAACTTATTTTTTAAATATGCAGGTAATTTCTATTTTCATTTCCTCTTGACCTACTTTCATTTCTACCGTAACAGCCTTCATTTCTTCTAGAACAGAATCTTGACAAGCTTTCATTTCTCCTTTAAATGATTCTTCACCAGCTTTCATCTGTGCTTGGCCCGCTTTCATTTCTGCTTCCAACGCAGCAAAGGCTGCCACCAACTGTCTTAGCTGTTCCTCAATCGCTTAAACTACTACGTTAAATAGAACGCAATCCAAAACGCAGAGAAAGCTAATCCGATTTCAAGATTGCAGTAGTAAACAACAACAGCTATCTATACAACTGAACTGAGATGTTTCTCTCCGGCTTTTTAATCAATCACAAGAAGGTTCTCGTAATTTCTGTTTTCTCGAGGTTTCTGGAAAGCAAAAGAATAGAATTACGAGATATCTATTTATTAAATGTTAAATGCGCATGCTCCTGTATTTTTACTTTACGGCGTATCTTTCTCTTAAAACAATTTTAATTCTAATTCTAATAAAAATAGCTAACTGAATACAAAATTTGTAACATTATGTACAAAGGCACACATGATATCGAATTAACAGACTGTATAGAATAGTAGCACACAAGTACACATAAGAATATTATCGCTTTACTTATCTAAGTGAGGAACACGAGAAAGATTTTTTTAAACCTAACTCGAGAAGTTGTGCACAAAAAATAAAAAAAAATAATAAATAAATAAATAAATTAAAAAAAAAATCGAATGAAAGGAAAATTCTTACAGTCATATAAGAGTGTCTCAAACCGTTCTTCATGTTTAGATTTCCGTACGTCGCTTAATGTCCCAATTTGGATGTCCTGATCGGCTTCCGAAAACTTGAGGATGCCAAAGCAATTTACCTTTCAACTCATAGGAATCTAAATATCAGTCTGGATTGGGTAACGCGTGGAATTTCAGAAATCCTTCAAACAGGGGCTGAGGTAAATGAGATGAGAGGACTTGGACTTGGATGCTGGTGTTTAGGCTGGCATGCAGCTAAAAGTTAGCTCTTTCCATCTCTTTAAAGATTCCTAGGAAGGGCATGACGAAATTGGAGAACCTGAGTGAAGTGTCGCAAAATAAAAGAGAAGCAACATTATCGGGGAAAGTGCAGAATCGCCGACTGCTTGGCGCGTTTTCAAGGATTGAACATACTCGGTATCCATGTACACATCGACCTATTTTCACTTGAAAAAACGCCAGAATTGCACAAAAATGGCATTGTGCACTCCCTTGTGTCTTTATCCATGTACACGTCGACCTATTTTCACTTAAAAAGTCAAAGAAAATTGACAAAAATCCAATTCTTCTTACTCTTGTAAAAAGTGCCAAACAAATAAGTGGGCGATTCTGCACTTTAGCCACATTCTTCTCTGTGGAAAGCAACATCTGGTAAGTAGAGCTACTAGAGACCCTTTATAGTAGCCTAAGGTCTACCAGCTACGTCACAAACAGGGGCAGCCAATGACTGCTGAGCTACTCGAATGCACAAACCTTTAGGATATTTTAGAAACCTTGGGCCAACTTATACTCAAGCCTGTCAGTGTGAAAATATTCTTTTGTGTTTTTGGTGGCCTCCGTCATATTTCTACTGACCACAAGATGGCACTACACTTCTGCTACACTTTGCGATGTTTACAATGAGCAAAAATGTATACTGCGGGAAAAAAAAAAAGTGGGAGAGTTATATATCTTCCGCTCTACTAAGCCGATTGACGAAATTCAACTTGCTTTTTCATGTCTCGAAAGCACGATTTAGGATATGCAGTAGATTTTATATATAGCATTGTTCTAATATAGGTATTTTGACACAAAATGAGACTTTTTCTGAAATGATATACCGATTTTTTTTTCATATTTCGAATTTACGAATTAAATTATGAGTAAATATTAAATTTTAATAAAATTTGCCGAGAAACTTACCGAAAAATTTATCTTAGCGCAATTTTTTCAGGTTTGCGCCAAGAATAATTCACTTGGCGGAATTCGTAATTTATAGTAACCTACTTACTTTCCTTTTTTTTTTTTTTTTATTGATGCACAAGAGGAAAGGAGGTCCATCATTCATTCTTTCAAATAATACATATTCTTTGATTCTGTAACCCTACATTTCTTGTTTTAACCAATCGGAAGGCTTTGTGAATATGCTTGTGAGCGCTTGAGTGAGATCCCTTTTTCCCTCTGTCATTCCGAAACTAAGCTATAAGCAAAATATAAATATAATAAAAGTGTGACGAAATCCCTTTTCCCTCTCTCATTCCGAAACCAGGGACCGGGCTACGCTCAAAAGTGAGTGTAGACGCATGTTTCGTATATATGCTGAATATAAAATCCGTTATGAGGAGCATAACAAGTTATACGAAACAATGTACTTTATAAACTTTATAGTATAAGGTATACTACTAGTCATTTCAGGAGAAGAAATGTTTCATGCGTTTGTTCAGATACAGGTAACTCTCTGTAGTATGCAATGAATAATTTGGAAAAACAGTTATTTTAAAGACACATGTGCTCACCCACATGAAACTGAGACCATACATCTGTGTAATGTATAACAAAGCATTTTAAGAAAAGAAGTACTTACGCATTTTTACACAGGTATATTTAATAAGTAATTTGGAGTAAAAAATGCTTTAAATAAACAGATATTTATTTAAACAGGAAGAAACCTCATGTATGTGAGGTATGTAATCAATGATTTAAATGAAAGAGAAAGGTAATAAACATGTTTATTCACATAGAAGGAAAATCTTGTGTGTAACATGTGTAACAAATCCTTTAGATTCAAAAGTGTTTTAAACAATTGTATTCTTATTCACACTTGGAGAAACCATATGTGCATGTGAAAAGTAATTTAGATTAAAGGGTTATGAAAAGAAACATTTGCTTATTCATACAGGAGAAAAACCTTATGTGAGTGAGGTATGCAATAATTCCTTTAGATTCAGAAGTGCTTTAAACAGAAATTTTCTTATTCACACAGAAACCTCATGTGTGTGAAGTATGTAACAACTCATTTAGATACAAAAGTGCTTTAAACAACATATACTTATTCACACAAGAGAAAAACGCTGTGAATGTGATTTATGTAACAAGTCATTTAGAGAAAAGTGCATTTCAAACAAGGATATGCTTATTCACACTGGAGAGATATCTCTTGTGTGTGGTATGTAAATTATCATTTATAGGAAAACATAAATTAATGAAGCATATGTTTATTCGTATAAGAGAGGAATCTCGTGTGTGAGGTATGTAAACATTCCTATACATTCAGAAGTTCTATAATGAAACATGTATATTCATACAGGAGAGAAACCTCATTTGTGCAAAGTATGTAATAATCCTTTATATTGAGAAGTGTGTTAAGAAGCATTTGCTTATTCACACAGAAGAAAAACCTCATGTGTGCAAGGTTTAGATCAAAAGGTAGTTTATACACGCTTATGCTTATTCATACCGGGGAGAAACCTCATGCATGTGAGGTATGTGACAAATCATTTAGAGGAAAAAGTGGTTAAACTACAGATATGCATAGTCACATAGAAGAGAAACCTCATGCAAGTGAGGTATGTAACAAGTCATCTGGAGAAAAAATTGTTTTAAATGAACATATGCTTATTCACAAAGGAGGGAAACCTGATGTTTGTGAGGTATGTAACAAGACATTTAGAGAAAAAAGTGCTTTAAACAAACATATGCTTAATCATGCAAAAAGGAAACCTCATACCTGTGAGCAATGTAGCAAGTCATTTAGATACAAAGGTCATTTATTTGGGCATATGCTTATTCATACCGGCGAGAAACCTCATGTGTGTGAAGTATGTAACAGGTCATTTAGATTAAAACCTCATTTACTCGGGCATATGCTTATTCATACTGGGGAGAAACCTTTTGTGTGTGAGGTATGTAACAAGTCATTTAGATTAAAAAATCATTTGTTTGGGCATATGCTGATTCATGCTGGGAAGAAACCTTATATGTGTGAAGTATGTAACAAGTCATTTAGAGAAAAAAGAAGGTCTTTAAATAAACATATGCTTATTCACACTGGAGAGAAACCTTATATGTGTGAAGTATGCAACAAGTCATTTAGAGAAAAAAGTGATTTAAACAAACATATGCTTTTTCATACAGGAGAGAAACCTTACGTGTGTGAGGTATGTAATAAGTCATCTAGAGAAAAAAGTGATTTAAACAAACATATGCTTATTCATACAGGAGAGAAACCTCATGTGTGTGAGGTATGTAACAAGTCATTTAGACTAAAAGGTGCTTTAAACCGACATATGCTTATTCACAATGAAGAGAAACCTCATGCTTGTGAGGTATGTAAAAAGTCATTTAGAGAAGAGAAAGCTTTAAATAAACATATGCTTATTCACACAGGAGAAAAACCTTATGTGTGTGATGCATGTAATAAGTCATTTAGAGAAAAAGCATCTTTAAATAAACATATGCTGATTCACACAGGTGAGAAACCTCAGGAACAGCTTTAGTATTCTTCCTTTTGGCGACAAACTTTTGTCATCACGGCAGACCCAGCTTTGACGGAAAAATGGCGGATCATCATCAAAACCCGTCAAGGATAAATATATCTGAACCAAATGACAATCCTAAAAAATAAGCTCTTGATTAGAATAGTGGGGAAAAAAAAAAAGCTATTTCTAATTTTCAATACTAAGTGCTGCTAAGACAAATTGTTGAAACACTGCTAAAAATGAATCTTATGTTATCAGTAATGAAATTTACAAAAGGTTAATAAATGTGTTTAAAGCTAGTACAGTCAAAAGTCGTTAATCCGGACTCGTCGGGACTTTGGCGATTCCGGATTCTCGATTTTTCCGGATTATAGATCATCAGTTTAAATCTCGTAAGATGGCATGCAGAAATTCTAAAATTAAAAATATGAAACTGCAATTTATGAAATAAAGAACAATTATGATCTAAAGGGTATCAAAATTTACAAAAAGAAAGCTTAATATTTATTTGTTTACTTTATTAAACATTTCCTTCAATGTAAGTTGCTTCGTTTCATGTGATAATACTTTCTCTTTAATTCTATTAAACAGACATAATTTCGTGTTCAGTTATGAAGTTCCACTGTTCAAGTCCCGTTAATTGCTGTGCCGAGAATACCGACTAACTTGTCAATCAAAATATTTTCGTTTTCACTAACCTCTCTGTCACATTCTTCATGTCTTTATCCATATTTTGCAGCAATTCCACTTTTTGTTTGTTGGACATCGAAACATACTTTCGTTTTGTAGATCCTTTGGAAGTTCCAGCATCGGAAATTCTATTTGACATAATCGAAAGTTCAAGTTTACTTTTATAAAATTGCTCTTACAGTCTGCAAAAAATAATAAGCGGGATCCAATTCGAAGATTATGGAACAACACAATCATTAACATTAACTGAAATAGATAATTAGATAATTTTAGCTTACACCGTCCGTTATACATTAAATGCGCAGGCGAAAATGTATTCTGCACTCGCGCACGCGCATATGCGCAGTAGTCAAGGTCTTATGCGCACGCGTAAAATGCCTGTGCGCATGCGCCGCGTTGGCACATGCGCAGAAAGTTTTTAGCTTTGAGGTCCGGATTATGGGTGTCCAAATTAATGACTTTGACTGTAGATATTAAGCATATGGATGTAAAATTAACCAGTTAAATGTGATAACAATATATAAAGCCTAGCGGAAGCAAAATGATCATGTAATAATGAGCCTTTTTCTTGACAAAGTTATCTATTTAGTTGAAAAAATTAGTACAATTAAGATCTGTCTTTGAATATCTTTCAATATTATAAAATTCCATAAAAATATAGAATCAAAAATCCACTTTTATAATTAATATCTTCATTGCATAATTTCAAAGTACTTCCGAAAGTATGATTGAAAATCCATTATCATCACATAAGTGAAATCGACAGATTTTTCTCATTTAAATAGACATTTAATTGCAGCTATGCTATCACATAAAATTTTTTATAGTAATAAAGTATATTCTGCTCTGATTTATTTATTTTATTATATATATATATGTTCATGTATTGTACAAAAAAACCAACATATTCACTTTAAATTTGACATACAGTCAAAAGTCTTTAATCCGGACTCGTCAGGACTTCGGCGATTCCGGATTATCGATTTTTCCGGATTATAGATCATCATTCAGAAGTCAAACAACAAAAATCAGCGTTAATTTACAATTTTTTTTTTTTTTTTTTTTTTTTTTTTTTTGTTGTTTGACTTCTGAATTAGTATTTATTTGGCATGTTATTGTGTCTTAATTATAGATCATCAGTTTAAATCTGCTAAGATGGCATGCAGAAATTATAAAATTAAAAATATGAAACCGTAATTTATAAAATAATGAACAATTATGATCTAAAGGGTATCAAAATTTACAAAAAAAGAAGCTTAATGTTTATTTGTTTACTTTGTTAAACATTTCTTTCAACGCGCGCATGCGTAAAGCATACATTACGCATAGCCGAAATTAGAAAATTGCAACCAGAAAACTATTTGATTTGTATTCGTGATATTTATAATGACGAGGAATTTGATTTAAATCATATCAAAGACGGAGTACATCGAGATGAAATGCTACATTTAGTAAGGAATTATAAGCCGAGTAAAATAAAAACATCTGCTCTGAAGATAACGATAGTGCTGACAGATCAACTTCGAGTTCATTGCGCTCCGCGATGTCCCCCCCCCCCCCGCGCAGAGCAGCGTGAAATTGATAAACAGATTTCGGAACGGTTAGATAAACAAAGGATATGCCTTTATCCATTTTTTGTAGCAATTCCACTTTTTGTTTGATGGACATCGAAACATACTTTCGTTTCGTAAATCTATGGTGATTTCCTGTTATGTTTTACCACCAATCCTCGAGTTCCATATCACAGATTATGTTCCTACTGCATTGATATAAATATTAACAAGACATAGCGCACAATAAAAATTAAGCTTTATTTTGGAACTTCGTGCACGCTGCCCAACAGCCTGCCTGTTTCACTCAGCTTGCTACTCGTAAGAAACTTCTCCTCTAGGGTTGCCACACTTATCGGAGGGCGCAAGGCGCGCTCCTTATCGCCATCACCACAGAGTTTCCCTTGTTTTGCTATTTTTAAGCGATCTGGAGCTAACCGACGAGGTTTTGCAACCACAGGTGGACCTTTAGTTATGATATAATGAACGGTGTTATGTTTAACAGGTTGGTTAGGATCTGGTAATCTAGTAATTGAAGGAAATTCTTTTAAAATTTTGTGATATGGTGTATCACTAAATACAGTTTTTACTGAATAAATGCTTCCATTTTTCACGCAACCGACGGTTTTAAAATCCGTTTTTAAATCTTTGAGACATTTATTTCTGAGATCAGGCACCAATTCAAAGAAATTGAGAAAATCTGCTCCAAGAATGGGTGTACTAACATTTGCTATAAGAAAAGTCCATGTAAACTGTCGTCTTAATTTGAAATCCAAAGAAAGTGTTTTTTGACCATAAACATGAATAGTAGAAGAATTAGCAGCGAAAAGTGTTTGTTGGGACGAATTCCGTTTTTGAGAATTATTTGCTGGAAGTAAGGACACATCAGAGCCGGTATCGACCAAGAATGAAAGGTTTGTTCTACGGTCACGAATGAACAGGCGACGTGAAACTTGAGGCAAAGAATAAGTCGCCTCTATTCTTTGCTGGTTTCGTTTCCCTGCCATGAACAAGGTTTTGTACATTTGTCATCTCTACACTTTTTTCCAAAACGTCTATGATATCAGCAAACAGAATAATCTCTTCTTTTGGAATTGCTTCTTTCCTTATTGCGATCTCTGCGATTTAGCGAGCGACCACGAGAAAGAGAAATGCGATCAATACGTTTGTTTAATTTTTCTATTTGCTTAAATAATTTATCCTCAAGAGACTGATCGACTGTGCGAGAAACGGCACAAGTCACTGGGGTTGGATTTACTTCTAAAATTCTGTCGGCAATTTCTGCAGCTTTATCTACAGTTAAATTGGAAACCGCTGCCAAAATAGACTGAACAGTCGAAGGCAAACGTTGAAGGAATAATTCTAACATTAAGTTATCAGGAACATTTAAAGATTCTGCTCGACGTTTCATATTTCTAAGCAAATCGGAAGGTTTTCGAGAACCTAATTCCTCTCCAGATAATAATTGGCGAATTTCTTGCTGAGAAGATTCTCCCAAACGATTTATTAACTCAGTTTTAAGCTTTGCATATGGATCAATAGGGTCTGGTTTCATAAGTAAATCCCGTACTATTGATGCAATATCTGGAGGAAGATGAGCAACTACATAATTATATTTAGTAATGGATTCTGTGATAGGTTTGGGGGTGGCAAGAGCAAAGGTACTTTCACACATAATAAACCATAAAGATGGGTATGATTGGTTATAAACCGGAATTTGGACGGCATAAACATCAGACATTGTGCAAGGTTTTTAAGCCAAAATAAAAGCAAAAATTAAACTAAAGAAAATGGAATTAAATGATAAGTAGAAAACAGAATTATAAAATGATCTATAATTACTACTCATCTGTGATTCGGAGGATGAAAACCGATGTAATCCATTACTTCTGGTTTTGAGATCTGAGTGATGGCTTGTAGTCAAAACCGAAAGTGCTTGAGAACTGTTCATACGATTTAACACAGTCCGGGTTACCATTATGGTGATTTCCTGTTATGTTTTACCACCAATCCTCGAGTTCCATATCACAGATTATGTTCCCACTGCATTGATATGAATATGAACAAGACGTAGTGCACAATAAAAATTAAGCTTTATTTCGGAACTTCGCGCACACTGCCCGACAGCCTGCCTGTTTCACTCTGCTCGCTACTCGTAAGAAACTTCTCCTCTAGGGTTGCCACACTTATCGGAGGGCGCAAGGCCATGACCACAAATCCTTTGGGAGCTCCAGCGTCGGAAATTCTATTTGACATAATCGAAAGTTCTAGCTTACTTTTATAAAATTGCTCTTACAGTCTGCAAAAAATAATAAGCCGGATCCAATTTGAAGATTAAGGAACAACGCAATCATCAACATTAACCGAAATAGATAATTAGAAAATTTTAGCTTATACTGTCCATTATACATTAAACACGCACGCAAAAACGTATTCCTGCGCTTGCGCACATGCATATGCGCCATCGTAAAGGACTTGCGCGCACGCGTAAATGCCTATGCGCATTCGTGAATGCCACGCATGCACAGAAAGATTTTAGCTTTGAGGTCCGGATTATAGATCATTCCGGATTATGGGTGTCCGAATTAACGACTTTTGACTGTATTAATTTTTATTAAGACTTTCTTTCTTGCTTCTCAAAACTGAACTTTCTTGCATGTAATTCATAACAATAACCTAGGAAGATATTATTATTCGCTACTTTGCAACTGATCAGCAACCAAACAGTAAAGCGACTGAAGTCTGGTAGTTTGATTATCCAAGCAAATGGGTTAGTTTTATGAGGGTTTTCATGGTATTCCCAATATGTAATGTGGATTCAGACGAGTTCCTCTCAGAATGTCCTCCTTGAAGGCATCCTTTCTCTTAGGCACATATCTCTCGCATGCTTTGCAATAATTTAAACAAACCAAATCCAACTGATGTATGCTGCTAAAATGATGCAACTGCTTTATTTAAAGTCCACATTTAATAATATTATAAAAACTGCAAATATGATCAAAAGTAAATCATTTTAAATGCATATATTTATATGAATTGCATATATTTATTATATGAATATTTAAAATGTCTATTTCATCATTAATTATTATTAATATATTTATGGACAACATTTCTTTTTTGATTTTACTGTTCAATTTATC